TTAATCAAAATACGAGACTTGTGACTTAACACGTTTTCTTAATGTGCACATTTTACGATATACAGATTCGAAAATGTTTTTCTCATGTGCGCAAACTGACAGCAATATGTCTTTAGTAATTTTCTCTCCAATTCGATGAAATCCCATTGCGTGGTTTTCTTTTTCTGTTTCCAGATTCGTACCATGACATATCATGACTTTAAAAATGGTTTTCGCTGGACGTATGGCTAATTAGCAATAAAAAGAAATTACTGGTAATAATTGTACAAAGTTAGATCTGTTATAGAATGCTCCCATTCAATTGATGCAATCTATGATGTCTCGCTCTAGTATAAATTCCAAAATAGGTGAGTTTCATCTGCAAAGTAAAATTTAAAACTGTTGATAAAATTAAAAATGCGTTAACAAAAAGACTAATTAGGAAAAATACAAATAATCGTAATAAAATTCATCTAATTTCTAATAATATATTAAATGAAACCGACATTTATATTCAATACTCGAAGATATTTTAAGGACATACGCAACGTAGTTTGAACTTAATTGTTTTTTCCCTGGAATTGGAGAGTTCCAATACTAAAGGAACTGTGTGCTACATTTTAATGTCTATATATGCTGTTGTGCGCTTCTTCTAAAGCAAGTTTAGATAAACAAAACATATCGGATATATGTTTAGTAATTTTTGTATATTTTTCTTTGAATTATACAAGAATTTTCATCAATTGATATCTTTTCAAAACCCCTGGTAATGCATGCTGATTTTTTTGTCTACGAACATCTGATGGCATTGTAATCTTAAATTAAGAATATCTTGAAAAATTATCAGTAGGTAAGATACGCTGCGTATGTCCTTACGGCGAATTTGAATTCATATACTAAATAATTTGAATTTATCGTCGTATTTTTTTTTTCCCTATGTGTAATGATTTTTGTGTCAATAACTGTTACTTTTACTGAACAATGCTCAAGTTATATACAAGATACCTCTGCGTCTTATCACGGAAATACCTTTTATTTTCGTGAAGTTTAAAGAATATTTAGAATAAACTCTGGTTATGAGGATTTAATATCCACGGTCATGTACTTTTTTCCCAAAATGAATGAGTAAGAAGACAGATTTTCTCTCATTGAAAGTAAAAAAGTGATGACCAGATTAAAAAAAAACCCCTCACTTCATTAACGTTTTTGCTTGTAGGGATCTAAAAATATATTACATGTACCGGCTGAAATGACGCCAAGCAATATATTTTGGGGAAAAGGAAAACGGAAAAAATAGAAATCTTAACCATGTGTACTTTCAGTTGGGAGGTAATGCAACACGAGCGGAACGACCTAAATCCTTGGTGCCGTAATCGTATGTAGACATAATGTATCTGAAGCGTATCACAGCGGATTAAAGGATTTACTCAGCATCTAGATTGGACTAGATTAATGAAGTGTAATCTCCATTACTGAAATTTAAATCGTCAAGTCACGATCATAAATCAAAATCTCTGTCAAAGGAATCTTTATAAAATGAATATTTAAGTAAGGAAAAGAGTTTTTTCTCAACCAAGAAAAATTAACAGTATCAGAAAGAAGGTTTGTGTGCCTAGCTTAAATGACCAGGTTATGAAATTTACTTTATCGTTTTAAGTCTAATCATTTTCTCCTATTCTGTTCATCAAAGTGTTAAAAAGCCATATCAAAGAGAAGAATTCGTATTATGATGGAAAAAAAGTTTAAGAGAGTTCAAATGCACTGACATCTGAATAAGTATATTATATCGAGCAAATTAAAGGAGGGAAGAATTCTTTTATCCTATAATTGTCTTTGTAAATATATAGTCTGTCTCTTGTTGCACTTCTTAATAGATGAATAAATTTCCAAAGTAATGTTTTACTAATTATAAAGGAATCTCTTTGATATTTATCTTATTCAGAGGAAAAACTGTGTGTGTGAAATAATAAAGTTCAACAAGTGTTAGTTTTCATTTTCTGTGCTGTAGACTATAAATTTTAAAATCCTTAAAACAGACATATTAATTTTCTTCTTTATTATTATTCTAGTCATAACAATATGCTATATATACGTATGCACAATCTGTATTTTATTTCACAAAACATTGGTAAAATTAACAAGATATAATTTGAGCTTGTTGTATAGTAGAGCATAACTTTCAAATTTCCACGCTCACAACACTCAATCAATTTTCAATGTACTGCCTATGGTATAAGTTAGGCGGATACGTTGCATTCTAGCCAATAAAGGGGGGTTGAAAAATGTCAAGGTCATAACTTTAAGTTTTCCTTGGATAAGTTGGCGATATCTAGCTCTTCTTAGTAGGCATGAATCCCCATGTAAACTTTTCTCTTGTCATTCTTCTCAGTTTTTATCTACCGTTCCATAGACTCTTTGACAATTAGCCTTCATAAAAGTCATACCTTGGGCAGAAATACACGCTGACCGATTTTTGTGAATTTCCGACATGTTTTATTTTTAACACTCGATTTACAAACATTTAATGTTAACACGAGTCAATAAAACAGAATTGATATTAAGTACAGCTAAGGACTCTCGCTTTAAAATATTCAAGATATCGTATGTGAAGACAGAAAATTAACAATTATTTTCATTTGTAAAAATAACTATATGTCATTATCATTATCAGTAAGGAGTGGTATCAACTAACATTTGAATAAAAAATAATCAGCTTTCGCATGAGCGCTGATAATTTAAAACTCAAAACATAAAACTGAATGTTCTTAAAACATATTTTTTCAAAAATAATAAAGAAATGACATAAACATCATTTTAATGGGGTATCACTCATCTCCTATCACGTGTAGACATGTGAATAAAAATAGCAGCATAGGTATGTCGGAAGCAAATTTAAAAAAAAGGGGGGCTAAACCAACTAACGTTTGGGGGCTAAGCCCCAAATTACAATGCCTATATTATCTCTATCTTTGCAAAAAAAGTTGGATGGGGTGGGGGCTAAGCCCCCTATCACACCCCCCCTTTTCCAACGCCTATGAGCAGTACAAGGGAATATTTGTTTGGACACTTAGGAATCTGGCTGTTCCTCATACCATCTATAGATGTACCTGCTTGAATTGAAGGTCGATCACTCTTAAAGTCATGGTAAGCAAAAAATGCACTCCTTCAGTAAGGAAAATAGCTGGATGTTTTATCATACTATGTTATAACAGCAAAGTGTTGACAGTGCAGATAACCAATCTAGCATTTCTTGGGAATGAATTGGGTCAAAGAAGCACACCCGAAATTGTCCAGATTGTCATTAAAATCTACGATCCTGAATTCATACAGTTGACGTGTTGTGCTAATTACTGTTTTAAACTGCAAGCATCATTAAAAAATGTTATGGGGGCTGTAGCTCACCGATATTTGCGTGATTCACGACAAGACAAAAACACAAACTTGAGTTACCTAGTTTTCGTTTTTCTCTGCCATTTACATTCATTTGCATTGGTATAACGATTAGCTTTCTTTTCCTTTAACTTAAAGCCCTAGATACGAATACATGTTGACCGAATTTTCCGTAAATTTAACCCGACGTGTTTTATATTCTCATTTGATTGTCGATTTTGGACGCGATTTTGTGCCAGCTTTGAGCATGCAGATAAACATCAGTGGCACGCGATGCACAAATTCATATTCTGCCGTCAGCAAACATGGACAGTGTACAGACTAAGATGTGCTCGAGTTACCGATTTATTTCTTATGGAACACTACATGTATGTTTATTAACGAATGCCATAGTTATTGTTTATGCATTAGTTATGCGAGAGAAAAAAATACTCTCGAAAGAGTGATAATTTCGCAGAAAACTATGTTTTGACATTTTATCGGTTGTTATCATTTTAGCGTGTTAATACGTTAAAAGAAATTTAGTGAAGTAAAATCCATTTGTGAAGTGAATTTTGTTTTGAAGAAAAGTAATATATTACTTTGAATTTTAAAAAAATCATAAAAATGAACAGCGTATTGACATGAACTTTTCTACACCTCAATCCGTGTTTTAATCAAGTAAATTTTTATTTCATAAAATTCTATAACCAAACTACCAAGAACAGAACTATAACGAAAATATTGAATATTAGTTAATGTTTTGTCGAGAACTGATATTAAAGAGAATTGTTGAAAATAAACAAAATTAAATTCATCCCATAGCCCAGTATACAGGCACGTTATCCACGGGTATATGTAAACCTCTGATATGTTAATAAGATACATGCATACTGGGACAAAATCGTCAAGGTTATGACAATTGATACACATCTTAATTTAAAAAAAAAGACTGCAGAACCTGCGCAGATTGTATCTATTGGATAATAAATCTGTGTACATAGTGTCAGCTTTTATCAAAATTCAACAAAGACCTGTCAGCAACTGAATTTTCCTTCACGCACATGTTGCTGCACATGTACGAATTTTGAGAGGACATTCCAAGTCCCGAAAGGTCGTAGGGGTCAGTCGGCTCCACCCCCCATCACGTGGTATTAATTTTAAACCTTCTGTCCAGTAATCATTGGTAAATTTGTTGTTATGTAATACTCCTATGGAGATGGTTTCCAAAAGTTTAGCATATATTAACAGAATTCAAAAGTTCACAAAAAGGTCATGAGATGATTCTAATTTTCGCCCTCAGCATATTGTAAATTTAATTAATTCAAGAAAGTGATTGTGGCAGAGCTAAAATGATTGAAAATCATGACTTGTAATTAAAACGTGAAAAGTTGATGTTGAAATTCTTCAATTTGATATTTTATATTCATCACATGCGCTTTGTTTTTACTTGTTGATGATGCGTTAAATTAATCGTAAAATGTTCGCATGTTTTGACATTTATATATTACGAAAAAGAGTTCCGAAAGAGCTATTTTGTATTTATATATAGTATACACGATGTGTATATATAGACCACTATGACAGGGAACCTGCAGGTCTAAGCTAATATATCAGGTCACTGACTCTCGTGGTAAAATTCGGCTAAATGGACTACGAGAGAAAAGGGGCGTGAGCTTGCATTTATATAGCTGCGTTCTGGGAGTATAAGACTATTGTTAGCGAACTCGGTGGATATATGCATAAGTATTTAAAATCAATACTACGTCTATTGTGGGAACTCTACACTTGAATGAGAGACACAAACAGCTGATTGGTTCAATTCTGGGTAAAAGGGTACCCTTTCCCTTATAAGGGAGTTCATGACCTAATTTCACTACTATTATAAATGAACGATCAGCTGTTTCACTGAGCTATCAGACTCCTCACGCGAAAGCACCTCTTCTGTATTATCAGTTTTGTGTGTACTACTGTACTACAGTACCAGCATGACAGAAGCGATGACCAGTTTGGACGCTCATTCAGACCCCTCTGCAGATCCCATTATGGACATAATTGCAGGGGCCACTCGATACAAGGTAGGCCTTTTTTGTTAAAAGCTTGAAAAATTTAAATGGGTAATTTTGTTTTATTTGCATAAAAAACTTTGAAGGGTTACACGTGCCATGCGTGCGTGTGCGTTACACCTGTCGCGTATGTTTTTGCAAAGTTCGTACAGATTTATATATATCTTGACTTCATACCTAAGAAGAATCGAGATGTTATGTGCAGAGCAGATCTTGCACATGTGTCCCTGAACAAATTGCTGGTATTAGCTCTATGCATTCAATTTTTTATTCATTTTTTTAGGTGGGGGTTCATTTCTGAAAATATTGATTCTATTTTTTTATTTTTAAAATAAATACAGCACATCAAAATCCTTATTAAAATCCTCTAGATTTGCAAATACCCGAAGAACGTGATTTTCATCGAAAAACAAATATCATAACATGCTATTATAAAGGGATATAAAAGAGCGTTTCTATCAGGGTATTATCCACATTTGATTAATTATTTTTTGCTTTAAAAACTCTCTGAGACAAAGTTCTCAACTGAATTTGTGCATGCTCACACACCTGTCTCAATAATTTGGAATGAAATAAAAAGCATTGAATGTCAAAATTAAGCCATTCGAGGTCTAAAAAAATTGTACTGGGATACATTTAGTGCGTTAAAATTTGATAAGTAACAGAGCAGTAATAATTCCCAAGTGTTTCAGCGAATGGAAAAAAGAGAGATCTGTGCATTAATTTATTGAATAAAGTTTTGAGGTGTCAGATTTAGTAGCAAATTTTCCAACACATTTTTTTTTCTATTTTTTATTTTTTTTTGGTTGGCTAAATCTGCGTCATACCTATTGTTTAAGTGTTAGAAAAATCTACATGGAATGGTTGTTTTAATTCATGTCATAAAAACATTTTCTGTCTAAATTCGATATTCATTATAGAGTATACAGTGTATGCTAAAATGCTTTCATTTAAAAAAAATAAGTATCTAGTTTAATGCAAACTATTTTACTACTATTTTACAGCTAATTAAGTGCACTCATAAAACATGCTATACATTGTGAGCGTCTTTGAAGATTTGTGGTTGCAATTTTGGGCAATTTTAAATAAAAAAAACAAAAACAGTTTTCACACCTTTGAAATTTCATGCCAGCTTAAAGCTTTGAAAATAATTAAGAAAAAAGGTTCTTATTTTTTTTTTATAAAGATATTGAAAATGAGAAATGTCAATTTTCTTTTCATTTCAGAAATCTGAAGAGTAGGGTAATTATTTTAGTCAACTATGGATGAAAAAAAAAATGTTTGAAATCTTCAGTTGTTTAGCCATCATATGGTTACCATTTATCTACTTTGATGAAATGCAGACATTTTTTAGCATCAGAAGAAATTCATATTTGGAACAAGGCCGTGCGTCAGAATCGAGTTTCGTTTTGAGAATATGGTAAATAAGAGATAAAGCTCTTACTGGCCGTACTGAAAGTTGAAGGTCGATGTCCTTCCGTATCTGTTGATTCAGCAATGACAATACTTAAAATTGAAAAACAACGAACTCCTGTATTGCGGGTTGAAGGTAAAGTGTTTAAATCTTTCGATGTACGACCTTGAAAGGGAATTATTGGGGAATAAAGTCCCGGTTTATGTCCGCCTTTTGTTTTTCTGACGATGCACCGCACTGTCTGACAACAAAATCAGTCTGCATTGATATGTATACTGAATTGCCTAAAGTGCACTCATATGCAGAGGATCTGTTTACTTTTGTCAGGAATCTAAATAAACTTTCATAGTTCATCAAATTTAATGGTGATCTAAATTTGACAGTAAATCTGTAAATATACTGCCACTGAGCATCAGTTTTCGAAAAACCTCTTATTCGGCAGGACATGTACAGATCGCAGATATCAATCGTATTAAATTTAGAGAGTCTTATATGTATATTCCTACTCCAATAGGCTGTTTTATCGCTAGTTTGTTGATATAAACTCGGTAATCTTTTGCCAAGGTTGTACTGTTCGTTATTTATTCGACATTCGCCGAATTCTTCCTGGTGATAACATAAATGACACGAGTTTTGTCGTTTGTTTAAATATGACGTCACTTCGGACAATGAGAGACCAAGAGTAACAGTACATTCACGTGATGATCTAGTCTTATTAATTCAGTACACCCAATTACAAAAATGTTTTCGGTGTGGATTAAGCTTAAATTCTAAAAACACTCGAACTTTGCTTGAGTGTAGTAACAGCACCGGGGGAGGTTTAAATATGACCCACGGTGTGACTTAAGACCATATAAATTACCACGGGTTTTCTTAAAATAATTCCATGGGCCACAAATTTGTAAAAAGACCGGCAATTGCATGTCTCCTGATTACGGACGGTGATAAAGACTGTGCCGGTGCTAAAAGTAATTTTGTTAATAATTCTTTCCTACAAAAGGCGATAAACTAGATACATATGTAGTGGTAGGTGTATTTCGAACCTTAGTTTCAGAATTTCAAGGATTTTGTCTTTAGCGTAATCGGTTTAGAGTTTCCTGGTGAGAATACCTCATTGCAAAATATACCTCCCTGTCAGATTTGTTATAATTTATTCATTTTCAGCTTAAAATACCTCGACGCATCAATTTTTACTCGTTAACAGTGTTACGGGTAACACTATATCTCTGCACCAGTAATGCTTAACAACGAAAAACCGATTTTCTTGTTAATTATTGACAGGACATGACAGAGAAAAAAAATCTCTAATTGGAAGCTTAGAAACATATCCCAGCATCCCGTAAAGTGTGCCATAGGCATGTTACTGAAAGTGTAAACGTTATATATACTGGATTTTCCATTATTATTTTTGACAAATAACGAACGATGTATGTTTTTGCGCAAATTCTTTACGTCCGTTAAGCGCTAATTTAAAGGGTCACAAAACTGTCTTGTTCGCAAAATGAAACAACCCCGCAACTAACATCCTATAAATTTTAAGTAAGAAATGTCTTTTTTTCATATTTTTTGCTTTCAGTATGCAGAGAAATTTGCAAAGACTTCAGTAAATGTACATTTTTAGAAATATGCTAGCTTGCTTAAGGCTCTCTGCCTCCTAAGTTGCTGCTTAACAACATACACTGGTATTCAAACACAGATGTGTGACATTTATTGAATCTGATAAACTCCTCTGTTTGCGAAAAAGAATTTGAAATTTTTATTAGTAAATTTGCGTCACTTTTCTTTATTATTATCTTTTTTTATTTAGCTAAAAATAAAAATAATCTGTTAAATATTTATAAATTATTTCATTTTTTATATATGCGAATAAAGAATTTAGAATTATGATAAGAAAAAGGTGCGAGAGGATTGTGTTTAAGAATGATTTTCTTTCACGTCAATGCGCTTTCTAGACGAAAACATTAATCAGTTCATCAGATAGATTGATCATTTGATAGGCACTGCGCGTAACTTTGAATACAAGGATCGTGCGTTAACTAATCTTGTTATGTTATATTTATGTTTTTGAAATTGTAGATTCTAACACATTGATCTTTTTATAACCATAGGAATTACAAGCATCACCCTGTTCCTCGCCGTAAACCGTTAATTACCATTCTAACAGGAAAATCACGATTTGCAGGAATTGGGCTAAATATATAATCGGGGACGTGTATATTCAATTTTACGCGAACGATTCTAGTAAATTTCTGACGGGGTAATAAATTCCATCCAAAATACATATATATTTCACATTCAAAACCATAACAAAGAAAAAATACAGATGTTCAAGGTCATGTAAATTACACATCTCCTACCGACGTCAATGCATTCAACGCCGTGTTAGTTTCACGTAAGGAATTATTCTGACGTCACAAAATTGACATCATTATTTATGACAGAATCTGACACATAAACTATTTTGACAACCCCTGTTTTATTAATAGGTTAATTTTCTTTTCTTTTCTTTTAACATGAATTGGCCAATTGATTCGATACAATAACTGTCAAAGATTGGGTGCGATAACTGGATTAACTAAAACGGCGAAAAAGAAAATAATAGAATACGTTTACCCCTCGTGTTATTTTTACTCACTTTTCACACAAATGTTGATATAATTTAAGCATGGATTATTTCCGTTTCTATTTTTCATTAACTTTGTGTCAATTATTTTATTTTTGGTTGCCAGTAATAGATAAGTTCCTTTATAGCACTCAAATAGACTTCTGTAATTGGAAATTTGAAATATAATAAAATATTGCCAAGAAAGTGTATTGAAGACAAGAAATAACAAATTTTATATTCATTTTAGAAATATCAAAAAGCTACATATAGAAACCAACGGGCGACATGAAGTGCCATTTATTAAATCTTATTCTAAATAAAATATAAAGCCGTTTGCACGGATTGATTGTTATAAATCCCAGTGTTTCATCAGTACTCCAGTGCCGAGACATTTTTGGCCCTATAGTACGATGCAATATATAATTTACAAGCCCAGAGGGTAGCATATTCGTTGATGAGCAAATCGTCATGTACGACTCTTCGGTCATCAAGCACAAGTACATAGCTCATATATAACTATGACCTGCGTGGGTGTCTCGTTAATTAATGAGAGATGTATAAGTTCATTGATGACAAAAATCATCTATTATTTAACAAACACATCTCCATATCAAGAAACTTCAGATTATCTTAATCTTAGCACTGGCATAATCGATAAAATTTTATAAATAACGCTATTGGAGACCATCTTTTGCCTCGATCAAGCGATAGCGCTAAGCACGGAAGTGAGTCCTCCTCAACCTTCTCAAGTTTCTGTGTACCCGTTCCGGTCGATCGAGAAAAAAAATTCAAATAGTTTTTGATCCCACTCCCAGTTAACAAATTTATATTTCAAAATACGATATCATATAGGGCATCCAATTCTAGTGTTGGCCATCTGTCATGTTTCGTAGTGTGAAGAAATATGATTAATTTTTAAAGAATAAGTTTATTTTATTTTGTAGATAATGATGCAATGTTTAGAAATTGGCTTGTTTGATGAAATTGAATCCCTTGGTGAAACCTGCACAGCAGAAACCATCGCCAAGAAATGCGGGTATGACGTATCTGTTTTGGAGCGATTACTTAGTACCCTTGCAAGTTACAACCTTTTGCAGAAGGACTGCAATAGAAAAGGTACAAACAAATACATTTGTTCTCCCTATTTTATTTATTTATTTTGCATTGTCAAGTTAATGTGTGATACATTTGTGCGAGTGTGTGATGTAATATAAGGATGTCACATGTAGATTATTTTTATTGTATTAACCACCCGAAAGTTTACACAACCTCAAATACAGAGTGTTTGTGAAACATGAGAATATATAAAAAGATGCTTGTGTCACCGGCCTTGATTCCTTGTCAAGGTCACTTCTAGGACACTGTATTTTTACAACTGTCTTCATAAAAGAGCAGTGAAATTTTGGTATAGCACATTTTAAATCTGCTTCAAAGAAAATACGCTTTTTTTTTAAAAAAAAGGTCTTTTTAGATATATTCTTTATAGCTACCATCAACAAAATAACAAATTTTAATGTCTACAAATTGAAAATATTATGTAAAAAAATTATTTAGCCAACATTTCCTCAGATTTTTAAATAAAATTTATTTAATCATTTATTTTACAATGTTTGCTAATTTAATGATTTTTTTCACTCTTGTATTACAAAGTACCTCATATTTCTAATACTAATAGTTTAAGCTATTGTGTGGAGCAACATTTGATAGTCCAAACATATTGTATTGAATAAATTCAGTAAAGTTTGGGAAACAGGAATATTTTGATACAAGTAATAGCGCAATTAAGAAAAAATAACAAATCATGTTATTATCCATCAGGGATTTTTTTAGGGTCTCTCTGGGGCCGAAATTCGGCCCCATTCCCAATGCTGAAAAGTGCATGTTTTTCCCAAAATCATACCTAAAAATTCCCAATATGAAAAAAAGTATTAAGTTGTAAATTATTAAAATAAAATAATGACAAAAAGGTGTTTATGTTCACTATGTGCGATGTACGAGCCATCCGAGGACTTCCGAGAAGTTATTCGGAATACTACGGATGTTTGCATGCATACTTTTTAAAGTGGGATCGATGTTTAAAAATTAATGTCGGGATCGTTATCTAAAAAATAAACGTGCATCATGTCAGTCTCTCCAGTTTGCCTAGAACGGTAATTTTCAGGCTGGGTTGAATCGCTCTTATTCTTATAAATTGGTCAAACAATACCGATTAACCACTCATCTGGAACAAATCCCTATCAAATGTTATTTTAAAGAACTTCTTACATAAAGGTAAAAAAGATGACAACGTATGAATATGTTCATTTACAATGTTATCATACCCTGCGGCTTTGCCATTTTTAAGCTTCTGAATTTCAACAGCCGCTATTATTTCATATCACTAAAGCTGGTTTTAGCCAGCTTCATACTATAAAAAATAAGAAAAATGATTAAATATTTGACTTTTGCTTGTTTTTTCCTATTTATTTGTATGAAGATATTTTTCCCAATTTCAACCAAATATCGCTATTTTTCCCAATCTTGACGGCCCCGGCCCCTGGAATCAAAGGGTGAAAAAATCCCTGTCCATCATGGAAAAGATAGGTGAGGTTTACAGAAGAGAACCGGATTGAAATAAACTTGTAAAAAAAAAAAAGGCACGGATTTAATTTCCTATTCGAAATTGATTTGAAATTAATACAGTATGATACTGTTATACCGGGGTATTTCTTAGTAGCAAAGAATGCACTGGTACATTGTATTTCATTGCGTTCACGATTGACAAAAAAATATTGTTCCCATTTTTAGAAGAACCACGTGGCCATCCTCATAGTCAAACAATCCGAAACATTGCCCTACAACGTGCTTTTTGAACTTGCAGCGCTTAGGAACAAAATGTATCTTAAGTCTCTTTATTTTGCTGAAATACTTAACAAGAATTCAATTCTTGAGTTGCGGCTAAGAAAATTGTATGTTGGCAACCCATGAAAATTATCGCCAGATATTGAGTGTTTTGAAGTATTCTCAATTTGGAGTTGATAGTTCCCTGATGTACCGTATGCTTTATCTTTCTGTCATTAGAGTGGGAGGATGGTTACTCTAGACATTGACATTAAGTTTAATTGGATAATGAATCTGTTTACCCGTTAAGAAAAGTGTCAAGTAATCCATGTTTGCAATATTTTTGCGACTTTCATGCAAGTGTCTGAACGGTTGACGCTAATTACAACTGACGCTTTTGTCAGTGATAAAGTTTTTTTCTTATCATCTTGCATCGCAGTCCTACCGAAACAATTTTTATTACAGTTTCACGAAACACACGACATTTAATTAGAATCAAACTATCCTAAAATAATCCTAGTTTTTGTCTCGACTGTTTTTGGCTTTTTTATGACCGTCTAATGTCCAGAGGGCATTTCTGTGTCCTTTGCATCAGAGGAGGCCCAAATCCGTCATTGACGATATTTACAGTGTTGTAAGCACAAGTCCCTGACAGGGGCGTTCATTAATTAAATAACCATTTCATTAGTGCGTGGGATGAACAACAATTGTCCAGATAGGGAGGAGGGTTCATTATCAAGTTCCTTTACGAGACGCAAATGGTACACAATTTGGCCTTATCAAGCCTTGCCATCTGTATCTCTTAACCCGTATCTGTCATATCTGCCATGATAAATGAAACACGGGGGATATATAGTTGTATGAATGAACTATTCTCTGGATGAATGCTAAGATGTGACCCCTCATCTTCAAGGTCAAGTTAGCGGAAATGCCCATCCCTTGAGATGTATGAAGTTCAAAATAGGGGCCAATATATTACACATGATTTATATTTCAACATTAAATGCACCCATTAAGTAGTAGGAGAGAAACTATGAATGAAAGTCCCATAAAAACTTATTTCTCTGGGATCAATGAACGTAATAGTCTACACTGGCATACTAGTAAATCATTCAAACGCGCGTTCTCACTCAGTTAATATAATATATTTTCTATATCTGTCGGTTTCTTCATTTATTTTTCATTGAAACAAAAATAAATAAAATTTGAGAATTATGAAGAAAGCAGCATAGAATTTAGATGAGGAATAACAAGTCTAGAACATACATGTATAGTCCAACAAAATGTACACTTATATATGAGGATGATATTTAAAATTCGTACGCACATAACTTTGTACATATGAAGCTTTTACTAAGCAATATGTTGCGTCTTTAAAGCTTTCTGGATTTAATGAAAATATGCTCATGCTTTCTCCTGAAAACTGCATTGCTTATTTTTGTCTTCAGGTATGCCTTCCTACAGGAACTCGTCAGGGACATCTAAATATCTTACCAGATCACGAAGACCAACAATGATAGGCCTTGCAATGTCAGTAGATGCAATGATCAATCCATTGCTTGATAATCTCCCTGTGCTTCTGAAATCAGGTAATTAGTCTTATCTTCAGTAGTAAACATACCGAGCTTTCCATATCTTATATTTTATTTATAACACGAGGAGGAAGATAATCGTCCAGAAGTCTTTGATGAATTCTGAGAAAATGTTTGGCATTGGAGATTCATTGTAACCAAATCATTCATCGTGGGCAGCAATACATGATTGAATTAAACATGTAGAAAGCTGTATATTCCTATCTTCTCTCGTATTTGATCTTTATTTCCCGTATGTATTAAATTTTGAAAAAAATAAAAACATGGACGAGAAAAATTTCGGTGTATCTTGTATATGTTGGTTCGTTACTACATACACTCTCTAAGTACGAGGTCAGAAGAAGGTGTGAAACAAGCGGAAATGTCTAAAACCAAGTTGATAATTGCCTTGTTAATTTTGTTAAAACACTTATTCTTAAACTGTCAACATGTGCCCGAAGGCAGCAAATGATAAACTCGACTATTTGACATGAAGCTGTTTATTTGAAGATTTAATGATGCCGGAAGAAAAGTGTTGGTTTCTGAATCATTTAAAACAAATTTGGTAAACGCGTTGCCCCTGTAAAATTGCAGTGGACTAAACGTTTCATCTTCATTACTCAAGAAATACCTATCCATTAAAAGCATCTAATAAGCATACATATATAAAAATATTTTCCTGCGAAAGTTCCTTCATAAGTACATTCTATATATAGACAAGTTTATAATACAGAAAGAATGGACTCCTCATTTGAAAGTACAATTGAGAATAAATATATTCAGCCGTTCTAAAACATCAAAACAGTTTTCCTTGTAATGTTTGTTTGAATTTTCATATGAAAATTGTTTATCAACTTAAGAACATTATGAGACCACTTTCAAATTATAATATTAGCATGACTAGTTATATATTTTATTGATTTCTAATGAGTTTCTTAAACAAATTTTATTTTTAAATGCACGAGGAAACCTTGATCGGAAAATGGGAATAACCCATTGTTGAATTTCTTTTTATCCAGGTAAACCAAAACTCGACATTAATAAAAACGTAGCCGATAATGGCAATATACTGAGTTCCTCACCAAACCACCAAAAGACACCAAACAACATAATGGATAAAGAAAATAACATGGGCCCAGGCTCTCCCATCAAGCAGAACATGTCTAGTATGCCTCATATTCCAAAAATGCCCTGCATGCCCAAAATGCCCCCAAACTCTACCAAAATGCCCATGGAGAAAAACGGCATCGATTACCAGGCCAAATTCCTCATGGCAATGGAGGGGTTCTCTGCCTCGTGTGCATCATCTATTGTCAAAGCCTTCGACCTCAGTCAGCACAGATCTGCAGTAGATCTTGGGGGTAGGTATCCTTATCTAGATTTTTTTTTCCTATAAAAAATATATTTTTGATATAGTGCAAACGGAATATATTCGAAGTTTTAGCATTTGGAAGTTTTAAAGTTGAATTAATGGCTGATTTTGGCTTACTAAAAAAGACATTTTGGATGGATATTTAATTATTGGTCAAGGTCCCTATGTAATATTCGATCAAGGTAAAATTAAAAGTACCAGGGCACTTAAAAATTTTATTTCAGTTATGGGAAAATTGTACATTGATAATAAAAGGATTAACAAAAGTGCGAGAAGTTAAAAAAAACGTTTTCCGTGTCAAAATGCAATATTTATTAACAGAAATTTTGTATAATATTGCACATAAATATTTATTAAATTATCATTAGCTGTACGATATTTAAATATCAAACACAGTCTTCCCACACATCAAACATCTTTGTGATCTAAAAATGTGTGTCAATTAAATTACTTCAATTATAAGAAATATTACAGAAATTCATATTGTTCGTTTTCGATTTTCGCAAACCACAAATATAGTATTAAGCGTAATGTAAATATAAGCAGTGGTTTGCAATTGCGAATTCGCGTTCACAAAACGCACTTTGAATCGTAAAGAGGATTGATGTTACGGAAACAAGGAAGTAAATTCTCTCTTGATGGCCCACTGACCCTTTGCGTGCACAAAGTGCCACAGAAAAAAGAAATCTCATTGGTCAGATATTAGAAACCCAATTTTTGTGCACGTTTTATAAATAGCATGTCTAATTATCAAATTTATTGCCAAGACATTGTTTGGTGTTAAACCACATCGTCTGTCATCTCTGTTTTTCGACTTTCATGTGTGGCGGGGGAGAATGAATCGTATGGTTGCTCTTCCAAAGACAATTTAACATCAGCCATAAATTTGAACAATCTTGACCTTACCTTACCTATATACTAAATCTAAGTATTTAGCATAGTAAACATAACTTATTAAAATTAAAAAACAGATCCAAGTGAATTAAAAATCAAATAAAAATACAGGAAAATATGCAATAATTTTGAAATTTGTGAGTATTGAAGAATCTTTGAATGTCATTCGTGCCATCATGTCTTATATCTGTATGACTTCTATTTAGGTGGACCTGGTAGAATCTCATATGAAATGGCCAATACTTATCCTCATATGAAGATCACCGTCTTCGACCTTCCTCCAGTGATTCAGGTGGCGCAGAAGATGCAGCAGCCATGTTCTCAGGGACAAATCTTCTTCAAAACTGGTGAGTGTAATCGTCTGCTTAAGAATCCTTATTGTTCTGAAGAGTTTCATGTAAAAAATTAAAACACATAACATTTTGAGAATTTTAAGAACATTTACTATGAGTTGTAATAGAGGAAAAGGATGGAAATCAATACCTATGTCGTGCATTTCCTGAATACCATATAGTTAAACATAAAAGAGGCTTGGTTTCTTTCATTAGAAGAAAAAGAATTTAAGATATTGCATTATTCTGCTAAGTTTTAAAGCAGCACAGAAAATGAACCCTGTATATTTCATTTCATTTTTAGCTAAATGATACTAGTATTAAATTAATCACAATTTCTGTTTTAAATCAAAGTTTTTAACTGTTCACCATTCAGGAAACTTCTTTGAAGATGAAATACCATCTGCAGACCTCTATCTTTTGGGCCATGTCATTCATGGTTTTGACCTAAAAGGAATTGACAGACTTCTTCAGAAGGTGTACTCTAAACTTCCACCAGGTGAGAAACAAAAACAGCTTTTCTGTGCGTTGTAAGCATTCCAAGTTTTTATTGTGTGGCCTCATGATCAACTCCTGCATAGCAAATTAAACCGTTTATTTATTGCCATTCATGAATTTTGTTTTTGACAGATAATATGCATATCAAATAAAGTGGCTTGCAAATAACAAAAAAACACACACATACACTAAAACACACCTTGCATTGTCTTATTTAAATCAAATTCTGTATTTAAAAAATTTGTCATCAGATAATTTGTAAGCATCTGTCCTTATTTTATAGGTGGATCTGTTCTAGTCATGGAAAAGATTCTTGCAGAAAACAGAATGGAACCAGAACTTGCTGTCACCAATGACTTTGTGATGACCCTTCTTTCACAAGGTCAGGAGAGAACCTTTTCCGACTACCAGAAACTCTTTTCTAAACATGGTTTCGTCAATGTGCAATTCAAACACATAGATGGTCTGAATTATTATGACGTCATGCTCCTGAAGAAACCATTTTAGTTTTTTTTTGTACTTGGAGACTTGGAATCCACACTGCATTCAGCCAATTTTTTAGCAGATCTGTTCTTTGTATCCCCTAACTGATGGATTGTCCCAAACAATATGCAGGCCAGGAATTTGTACCAAAGATATGGGTTTATGTAGTCTTGTTTCTTTTTTAAGGAAGACAAATAAACCCTATCAATTGTAATCGCTCCCTTTTTAATCGATGAGCGCATATTTATGTCACCAGTTATAAATTACGTGTGACACTGAAGTAAAATTTAAATTTCTTGACAATTTTGTTTTCGTGCAAATTTTTTTTATTGTCTGTGAAGTACAGCTGTTTTTTAAACAGTCATCATGTCGACTGTGTGAAGATTGTAATGTAATATACTTTTTACGCAAACTGAATATTTTTATTACTGATCTCATATCACGGCACTGTAACTTGCAATGTAAGTAACACTATCATTTAACCTTAATAGCGACAGATCACACAGTTCTTGGTTTCCATTTGCCACGTGTATCATAAATCAAGTCACGTGATTTTAGGGGTGGGTGGTTGGGAAATAATTTTCAATCAAAAGAATTTATCGACTAGTTTTTTTAGCAAGATTTTTTTTACGAAATTGCTGTGAAATGACAAGGCTTGTTCCAAACACTACATGCTTTATTAGTGGACATCTCGCAACAATAACTCATTATAAGTCAAGGAAACCCCAGGTCCCAGTGACTTTGAATCTCAAAATTCTAAATCAATTTTTTGGCGGTCTCTTGTCATGAGATTTTCATTTAATCAGTAATGCAGTATTTATGAACGATTTTTATCACTTATGTGGTGATATCTTACTTAAATTGCATTTAACCATGTTGTTTAATATTGTGATATTGTCTGTTTGAAATACTTTCATCACATATTGGCAAAGATTTTGTAAATACTTACAGACGCCTTTTGCAAGAGGTGATTTAATTAAAGGGATATACACATAGTATCTCTGATTGTTTTTTTCCATACTCATGTTAAAATTAATCTGTTATGTGTTGATGGACCAATTGTAAGTGTTTAATATTAATGTAGATCACTGTTTTGTTAATTATTTATATTTATCTGTTTCAATTTATTGTTATGATATATGATAATTAACTAACTTATATCCAAATAAATGATTAAACCTTGTAGTAAGTTTCTTTCTGTCTTCAAAATTCGGCATAAAAATAAAAATATATTCTAGAACTGGATTTACAGGAACAGAACTTATGACTTAGTGTTTTATAAAAGCAAAAGACGTATGTGGAATATAATGCTTGACTGCAATGTACTGCTTGTTTCAAAAATCGATTTAGAATAGATACTGTGCTGCCCCTTATATTTTTCATTGTAAGAAAAAATGGGGTTGAAAATTACTTTTGACCCCCTTCCCCCATTCAAAAAGTGGACCTCCTAAAGCTTTATGAAAATAGATGTATAAAGTCGCTTTCCTCCTAGGAAATGTTAAGGAATGACGAGTCATGCAGCTAGCATGGTTTGTCCTTGCAGCTGAGGAACAGTGGGCCTTAATAGGTCTTATTTTCCTGGTAATACTTTCATATTGTTGTCGGTGAGTTTCAATACTGAACAAACAAGCAAACTCAAGAAATGAGATACTATGTGAGCTCAGAACGTATACCATACATGTGTCTACCGACTGAACAACTGAGATGTCTCGTGAGAACAAGATGTGTTTGTGAAACACTGACGCCCCCGTATGGCAGCGTAAGGCGAAGGTTAAAGTTTCTCAAATGCAAGTCAAACTCCAAAGTCAAGGTCAAGAGATAAAAAATGTTACCCAAAGAAAGGACTCTTGTCAATGGATATACCTAGTAAATATGAAAGCCCAAGCACCAACCATTCCAAAGTTATTGTCAAGGTTAATGTTTTCTAAAAGTGGATCAAACTTCAAGGTCAGGGTCAAAATTTATGGTACGCAGGGGAATACCTTGTCATAAGAAATACACATGCAAAATATAAAAACCCTAGCACCAACTGTTCAAAAGCTATGGCAAAGGTTAAAGTTTTCAAAAGTAGGTCAAACTCCAAGGTCAAGGTCAAAAGGTCAAAATTGTTGGTACCCAAAGGAAGGTCTTGTCAAAAGGAATATATCTGTGAAATTTGAAAGCCCTAGTGCTAACACTTCAAAATTTATGGCCAAGGTTTAAAAGTGGGTCAAACTCTAAGGTCAAGGTCAAAAATATTTTCACCCATGGAAAGTTTTTGTCATGATGAATACACGGGTGAAATATGAAATCCCTAGCACCAACTGTTCGAAAGTTATGGCCAAGGTTAAAGTTGGGTATTTTTTTTTTTTGCAAAAGTGGGTCAAATTCCAAGGTCAAGGTCAAGAGGTCAAATATGTTGAAGCCCAAGGTAGGTCTAGTCACAAGGAATACACATGTGAAATATGAAAGCCATAGCTTCAAGCAATCAAAAGTTATGGGCAAGGTTAAAGTTTTTGCGGACAAACAGACAGGCGGACGGACAGGGCAAAAACTATGTACCCTCGAATCTTCGATTACGGGGGGCATAAAAACGTGTGTGCCATATAGTTGGTGTCTATGCCGACTGAAAAACTGAGATAACATACGAGAACTATCTATACAGAATGAAGAACCGATATAGCGTATGCGAGCAACACGTACATGTATGCTATATAACTGGTGTATGTACCGAGTGAAGAACTGAGATATTGCATAATAACAACATTTATGCCATAATGTTGGTGTTTGAAACAACTGAAGGAACTGAGAAATCGTATGAGAGCAACATATATTTATGCCCTATCGTTGGTGTCTATACCGATTGAAGAACTAAGATATCGTATGAGAACAAAACGAATGCCATGTAGTTGGTGTCTTTACCGACTGAAAGACTGAGATATCGTATGAGAGCAACACGTATATACCATATAGTTGGTGTCTATAGCGAATGAAGAATAATACAGATACACCTTGCAAATATTGATTGATTGTATAGAGACGTCACTATATATCGGTGAAGGGCTTCAAATTTAGACCTATCCTCGGCACTTGGGGTCATTGAGCAGTGAGGGTTCTTTATCGTGCCAACGCCTACCGTGACACAGGACCTCGGTTTTTAAGGTCTTATCTAAACGATCTGGGACTTTCATTTACAGTGCCGGGCGCTTGGAGAAGGAACTGTCATTACCTATTTTTACGTCTTAGGTCTGACGAGGCGCAGCGAACGAGAATCGAACACGGGCCTCCTCATCTCGGAGCGAACGCCCTACCACTAGTCTACCGTTACCGGTCACCTTGCAAATACTATGTATTTACCAGTGCATTAACTTATAGTAAACCATATTTTATTATTTGTGCGAGAAATATCAGGGAGTTTTGCAACCCTCTTTTCACTAAATCGCCGCTAATCATTTATTCTATTGTTTGTTTATGTTGAATGCTTTATCATTTGCAAAAATTTAGAGATGGATTTCGATTGCGATATTCAATGAACATTGTCGCGAGCAATAGTTGATTTGCAATACTTTTTGTCTTGTCATAAAAGTTTACTTTGCACCCCCTCCCCTCCCCATAAGAGAGTTGACCTAAGACTTAAGAGAAAAATGACTTGTATAAAGAATAGTCGCTATGATTATATGATTAAAATATGATTAAAACTATAAGATTAGACACAGTACGGCGTCAAAAAGTACAAAGTTATCTGGCATGACGATAATATGCACAATTGCAGAAGTTGTGTTACATGGAAGAAACATCTTTACTCCCTTCAAGTTCTTGTAACCTTTTAGTCCCATTTTAAAACATCTTACTGCCTTCTTGCTAATTTATCGATATAAAAATCAGGGTAATATGCAAAGGGCAAAAAAAAAATTAAATTGATTACTGAACAATTTGTCATCATGTCTATTTTAATATTGCTATATTTATGCGTTTTTACACACAACATTTTGATTTATTCGAAAACTGATTATCATATTCACATTTTGTTTAATATTGTCTAGAATGACCTTAGTTTTATAGATAGCAGGTTTGATGCATATTATGAATTGTCTAATCACATATTTCAAAGGATTAAATATTTATATCGAGAAATGCTTTAGTATCATGACTGGAGACAATCAGACTCTCGCATAATGCTACACTGTACTATAGACAGTCTTTTTACCAAATTCTGCATTGATCATGGAGATTTCTGAAATTCTAAAATCTGGAAAATTTTCTTGAAATAAGTAATTATATGTAACACTGCATGCAGTGGTACATTTGTTCGTTGATTTGAAATTTATTAATAAAAAAAGAACTTTTTACAATTGATTTTTGGCAATTTTGTACATTTTTTTCGAAGAGCAATATACAGTATTTTCGTCTAAATTCCAGTATGTTAAAGACTACTTTACAGAAATTATCACATGTATGTTTTACACACATGTATATAGTCAAACAGAAAGGTCTATCTTTTAACACGGAAGCTTGTTTGAGTTAGATTCAATTATTAGTCTCAGCAGGGGACTACCGGTTTCCTATCTCCCTAACTGTTTGTCTGTCCGTCAGTCAATCTGACCCATTTGGTTTTCTAGACACTCGCGTATTTTGAGCTGATTTTTTCATGGTCTGTAAGTCCATTTTAATGAGTTCCGCTTCGATGATTTTTAACCAAATAACGGTCCACACCGGTCGGGGACTCAATGATGATTATGCTTCTTAGAATACCTATAAATAGTTTATTGTTTTGAGTGCACTTTTAAAAGTAGACAATGTCATTAAGTAGGTCCCAAACTTTAATATCTTTTAATATACTGTGCGTGAACATAAATTGGCGTATTCAAAAATTTAGCGCAATCACTGGGTATGGAGTTGTTGGCGAAACCATGAATTAGCGCTATTCATGTCCGTGCCGTATATTGTATTTATAAATGATTTCTTAGAGGTATTCATGAATTGGCGCATCGTTGTCTGCGCCAAAGCCGCTAAAATATGAAGCCCGCTTTTTTTAAGTACACATACAGTAGATCAAAATACATAAATGTTGCTTTCTACTGAAGTTTCAAGGTGAAACATTAAACGAATTAAAAATCCTTGGTTTCATCTCAGAAGTAGTATAATACGCCTTTGGTTTAAGAAATAAAGTAAACAGTATTTTGAAGTTCCGTCTAAAATCAGGTTGACATACATGTAATTGTGCAAGATTCTGTTGCGTAGTTCGACCGACAACATTCTAATAAATTTTCATTTCAAATTCGGTCAAATAAGAGGGGGTTTTGTCTCGGAACAATCAAAATGCATGCAATTTCTTGATATTTATTTTTTTTTTTCCCTGGTAACAAGATTGCATTGATATTCCGTAAAGGTCGATAGGATTTTTTTTAAGAAAAGCGGTCGCTTGTATTGCGGAAAAAACCCATGAGTATCGCTTTTATCACACGAGGTTGATTGCTTTGTAACAATGGTCTTGAGGTACTCTGAATTCAATTAGAAAGTATTTTAAATTAATATGCATGAATCAGTTACATCACAGATTAGCTTGTTACGAAGTTCCGTCAAATTTCTGTAGGCCTATCGTTAACTATAATCTTCACCGGCAACAAAGTGTGAAACAAATGTCTTTTCCTTGAAAGATTGAAGGTGTTTTGTTACCATATATAAAATTGCTGTTAATGCCAGCGTTTAAGATGGACTTTTTACGTCCTGATGATAATAACGAAAGCAATTAGAGTGACGTGAGTCTACTTTTATTGGTTGTATGGTTATCCGAGAGTTTTATGTCACTGCTGCCTTAATAACTCGCTATTACGATGACGCTAATTAGCATATCTTAAATGGTAGAACCATTTTAGGAAGCTTGATACTCATTGTGTTTATTTGACAGTTATAGATTTATCCTAATACTTCTGTTACTATGTGACAATTTCAGTGCATAGGTTTTATACACAGAATAAGCTGAGAATACAATAATGCCATAAATAACCCACAGAACACATCCTTTTAGATAATCACTATCGAAAAGTGTTAGAGAATTGACTTTTTGGAATGAGAAAAAAGAGATAAGGGAAATTCGAGAGAATATAGCTTAAAATGTCTAACATTCCTCAATTTATTAAGTCATTTTTTTTTACAAGTAAAATTCGGGGGGTTTTTTTACCAAATGTTTTAATACCCTCATTTTT